GTTAAAGTCCGCAGGCTACTTCGACACCCAGTTCTTCCACATGTCGCCCAAGGAAGCCATGCAGACTGATCCAGCTCAGCGACTCGCCCTACTCACAGCTTACGAAGCTCTCGAGATGGCTGGTGTCGTGCCGGACCGAACGCCCTCAACCCAGAGGAACCGCGTGGGCGTTTACTATGGTACTACGAGTAACGATTGGGGTGAGGTGAACTCCTCACAGGATGTTGACACTTACTACATTCCTGGAGCCAATCGTGCCTTTATTCCTGGAAGGGTCAATTACTTCTTCAAGTTCACGGGCCCGAGTATCGCTGTTGACACTGCTTGCTCTTCGAGTCTTGCTGCTATCAATCTTGCGATTACGTCGTTGAAGAATCGAGATTGCGACACAGCGATTGCTGGCGGAACCAATGTCATGACGAACCCGGACAACTTTGCAGGCCTCGATCGCGGGCATTTCCTTTCTCGCACTGGCAATTGCAAGGCTTTTGATGATGGAGCGGATGGTTACTGCCGCGCTGATGGAATTGGCACCTTGATTCTCAAACGCCTTCCAGATGCTATCGCAGACAGTGATCCCATCTTTGGAGTCATCCTGGGAGCACACACCAACCACTCAGCAGAGTCCGTCTCCATCACCCGACCTCTCGCAGACGCCCAGGAGTATCTCTTCAAGAAGCTCCTTAACGAGACCGGTATCCATCCTCACGATGTTAGTTACGTCGAGATGCACGGAACGGGGACCCAGGCTGGCGATGCAGTTGAGATGCGCTCAGTTCTCAACTCATTCGCCTTTGATCACAGTCGTCCACGCGATAAGAGCTTGTATCTCGGCTCAGTCAAAGCAAACGTCGGACACGCTGAATCAGCCTCTGGAGTTCTCGCCATAATCAAGGTGCTGCTCATGATGCAGAAGAACACGATCCCTCCGCACTGCGGCATCAAGACCAAGATTAACCAGGGTTTTCCCAAAGACTTGGATCACCGTGGTGTGCGCATTGCCCTGAAGGATAGTGCGGACTGGTCACGGCCTGAGGGTGGGAAGCGCAGAGTTTTGGTGAACAATTTCTCTGCTGCTGGTGGAAACACGTCGTTGCTGCTCGAGGATGGCCCTGCAGCTCACCCGGCACGACAGCATCAAGATGGAGATGCTCGTACTGAGCATGTCGTGGCTGTTTCGGCGCGATCTACCAAGGCTTTGGAGGAGAATTTGAAGGCTCTTGAAGCTTACATCGCCAACTCTTGGGCTCCGGAGGGTGAGCTTCTTTCTCAACTTTCGTACACGACTACTGCTCGACGTGTACACCACAGCCGACGTGTTGCGTTTGTCACCAACGGTCTTGATGATCTGAGGAAGTCTCTTCTCAAGGCTGCTTCCGCTGCCGGTCAAGTCAAGGGCATCCCTGCAGTGTCACCCAAGGTCGGCTTCCTCTTCACTGGACAGGGAGCGCAGGAGACTGCCATGGCTATTGGGTACTACAAGAGCTTCTCATCCTTCCGATCGGACATTCACCAACTTGACTACATCGCCACTCTTCAGGGTCTCCCATCCGTTCTCCCACTCATTCACGGCACAACCCCCGTTGAGGATCTCTCTGCAGTTGTCGTGCAGCTCGGAACGTGCATCATCCAGATCGCACTCGCTCGTTTCTGGATCAGCCTCGGTATCACTCCCCAGTACGTCATTGGACATAGCCTGGGCGAGTATGCTGCTCTTCAGATTGCAGGCGTTCTCAGCGTCAACGATGCCATCTTCCTTTGCGGTCACAGGGCAGCGCTTCTTGACAAGAAGTGCACTGCCTACACGCACGGCATGGTCGCTGTCAAAGCGGAGGCTGATTCTTTGAGGCAGCACATCTCATCTGACTTGAAGGTCGAGATTGCTTGTGTCAACGGCGCTGAAGACACTGTCCTCAGCGGTTCCAACGCGGACGTTGATACGCTCTGCGGGAAGTTGACTCAGGCTGGTTACAAGCTTCACAAACTAGAGATTCCGTTTGCCTTCCACTCTTCTCAGGTTGATCCCATTCTAGATGACCTTGAAGAACTGGCGTCCCAAGTTGAGTTCCACGAACCCGAACTTCCTATCGTCTCGCCTCTTCTGCGTACGCTACTCACTGGTGATACCCTTGGTCCTCAGTACATCCGACGTCATTGCCGTGAGACAGTTGACTTCCTCGGTGCTATCAAGATGGCTGAATCGCAAGGCATCATGGAACGAAGCGGCATGTGTATCGAGATTGGAGCCCATCCCATCCTCACGCGAATGGTCAAGTCAGTCATCGGCCAAGACTTCCGGTGCCTTGCGTCTCTCCGCCGCAAAGAGGACCACTTCAAGACTCTTGCAGATTCCCTTTGCGCTTTGCATCTGGCTGGTTTCTCCGTCAACTGGGACGAGTACCATCGTGACTTTGCATCTTCTCGCAATGTTCTTCAGCTCCCCAAGTATAGTTGGCAGCTTGCGAACTACTGGATGCAGTACAAGTATAGCTGGTGTCTTACCAAGGGCGACGCTCCCGTTGAGAACGGTCCAGTTGGTGCAGTTGTGCAAGCAAGGGCACTGAGGCTGAGTGATTCAGTGCATAATGTCATTGAGCAGGTTCATGGTGACAAGAGAAGCTCTATCACGGTAGAGTCTGACATGCATGACCCATCTCTCTTGGTCATTGCGAAGAACCATCGTGTCAACGGATTGACTATGGCTCCTTCTGTTAGTACTCTCTCTTTTATACTAGATTCTATTACTGACTTTACGATTTGTAGACTCTCTTCGCCGACATCGCCTTCACCCTCGCGAAGCACCTCATCCAGAACCACGGCCTCGATGCGCACACGAGCCTCCCTTCCATCAACAACATGGCAGTCGAGAAGGCTCTCATCGTGGGAGAGACTGGCCCTCAGTTGTTCCGAGCATCGCTCGATATGGACTGGACCACTATGCACGGTTCAATCCGCATCTTCAGCGTCGGTGCAGACGGAAAGCAGACGTCCCTCCACGCAGTCTGCGATATAGTCGTCGAGAACCCAGGCTCCCACCGTGAGAACTGGCAGGGCAACGCGTACCTCATCCAGCGAGGCATCAAACAGCTCGTTCAAGGCGCCAGTGATGGTTCTGCTCACATGATGCGTCGTGGTCTCTTGTACAAGATCTTCTCCAACTCAGTCCAGTACGGATCTGCGTTCCAAGGCATCGAGCAGGTCTGGTTCGACAGTGAAGGCCTCGAAGGAACGGGTAAGGTCTTTATGCCCTCAGGCAAAGACTCTTTCGCGCTCAACCCGTACTGCTGCGACAGTTTGGGCCACATCACTGGCTTCATCATGAACTGCAGTGATAGCCTGGACCTTGACGATCATGTCTACATCAATCATGGCTGGCGGACTCTTCGCTTGGTTGAGCCTTACCAGTGTGACGTGCAGTATCAGACATACGTCAAGATGCAGGCGGTTGGCTCTGACGATTCGACTTACAGTGGCGATGTCCACGTTCTTCGTGATGGGAAGATCATCGGTATCTGTGGTGGTGTCACCTTCAAGAAGGTCGCTCGTAAGGTACTCGAGATGCTTCTACCCAAGCCTTCTGGTGCCAAGTCTAAGCACGGCGCTGTCAAGCACGTTGCTCCCGAGCCCGTGAAACAGGTCGTTCTCACTCCCCCGTCTACCGCTAGCCATAGCGTCGGCACAACATCACCTCCCGAGCCAACAGAGTCATCTCTTGGCTCTGCTTCTGGCCTCGTTCAGAAGGCTCTGGAGATCATTGCGGATGAGATTGGCGTTGACATCTCTCAGCTCACTGACTCTACACTGTTGGCGGACCTAGGCGTCGATTCGCTCATGTCATTGACTATTCTGGGCAACTTCCGAGAAGAACTCGACTTGGACATTCCAGCAGCGCAATTCTACGAGTTCTCAACAGTTCAGGATCTCAAGTCCTTCCTTGGAGCTAACGACCAAGACTTCTCGAGCTCAAACTCTGAGGCGGAGAGCTCCGCGTCTAGCGCTGCTTCAACATCCCCCAGTGACCATGGAGATGATGTCGTTGAGGAGGTCAAGCCTATAGTGGCAGAGATACCTCGGTCAACCTCTACGATCTTGCAAGGCACCAAGCACTGTTCTCAAACACTCTTTCTGTTCCCCGACGGCGCTGGTTCAGCAACGTCTTATGTTACTCTCCCTTCCATTTCGTCGGACATGAGAGTCATTGGATTGAACAGTCCTTACCTCACCAAGCCACATGAGTTCAACTGTGCTCTCCAGGACATCACAGGCTCTTACCTGAACGAAGTGCGTCGACGTCAACCTCAGGGCCCTTACCATCTTGCTGGTTGGTCAGCCGGAGGCGTCTCAGCCTTCGACGCTGCTCGTCAGCTCGTCTCTGAGGGAGAGGTAGTCGAGAGCCTCATCCTGATTGACTCCCCCAACCCGGTTGGTCTCGGCAAGCTGCCAAAGCGTATGTACGACTTCCTCGAAAAGTCGGGTATCTTTGGCGCCTTCGAGATGGGAGAGGAGGCTCAAGCTCCGCCTGATTGGCTCTTCCAGCACTTCTGTGTCTTCATTGAGGCGTTGGATAGGTACGTGCCTGAACCGTTTGAGCATGGTATGGCTCCAAAGACGACCATCATCTGGGCTGCAGACGGCGTGTGCAAAAACCCCGATGATCCCCGTCCTGAGGCACAGCCTGACGATCCTCGGGGAATGAACTGGCTCTTGAATAACAGGGAGGACTTTGGACCGAATGGTTGGGATGAGTTTATTGGCGCTGGGAACATCAGCACAATGGCGATTCAAAATGCCAATCACTTTACTATGATGAGGGAGCCAATTGCATCGGCTCTTTGTGCGAAGATCCGGGAGGCGATGGGGGTAAATTGATAAAGGATTTAAGACAGCAGTATTTCTCTTGTCTAGATACTATAGTTTTATGTTTATTTCCTATAATTTCTATTCTCATATCTGGCACTTGCCTGTCTTATATACTCCCTTGCGCATATATGTTATCTACATTATATACTTCTCTTTGATCCCTCGTCCTGTGATGTCCGAGCTGCTTTCAAGAATGCTGTAACTGCTGTCTGATGATACTTCTCTGCAAGTTTCTCTGCTGTGCTGCCAAAGAAAGTTGTAGCCTTCAAGTCTGCACCGTAGTCTATAAGTAGCTTCACTATTTCTAGGTGGCCCTGCTGCGCGGCTGCATGTAAGGGAGCTCGATTTCGAGGTCCCAGGATGTTAACACTCTCGGGCCTTTTTTGTAAGAACCTTTGTGCTTTGGTTATAGACCCGGCCTCGCAAGCATCATAAAGAGAGTGTATAGATGGTAGAAACGGTGGAGGTGGTGGAGGTGGTGGAGGCAGTGTAAACCCCGCTCTAGCGAGACAGGCAATTAGGTCTTTGTCAGTCTGACAGTTGAGCTTTGATGGAAGCCTTTCCCAAGCTTTCCTCCGTATGGCAGGGTCGCTGGTAAGGACCATGTTCAGAATTGCAGGTTCAATAACACTGACGAGAAAGAAGACGGCATCAAAGCTACTATCCAGTGCAGTGACGGTAGCGTCTTGCAAGTTCCTGATGTGATTGGCGTTTGCCTCTCTCGTCTGCGATCTCGTTCCCATCGTCATAGTTCTCTGACTCTGCATAAAGTGCCAGACGAGCTTGGGGATTGGTAGCGTGATGGGCTGGTTTACATATTTCCCTTGGACGATAGGTAGGACAGTACGAAAGTACTCTTTTAAAATGCTTACGAGCTTGAACCTGGCAATCTCAACAAGCCACATGGACAGACTGTCGAGCGTAGTGGTATGTGACAGAAGCTGTGCCACCTCAGTAGGCTCTCGCTTCGCTAGTAGTGGAAGAACCTGGCTGTAGGGACTGCTAATGCTGATCTCAGCCCAAGGAACTATCCCCGCGCGTATCAAGGTGGCCGTAATGTCGTGGTGGTGGAGCCGCACGGCGCAGTCCAGCGGCGAGGTACCTGGCCCGATAGTCTTGTTGTTGACAGCACCAGCCGATAGAAGGACCTCGACACATTTATGGTGTCCGCCTTCCACAGCAAAGTACAATGGACTATGTTCTCCAGAGACACCATCTACATGGCAGCCGTGTTCTTCCAACAATCGATGTATGAGATCGTCCCTGCCCAGACGTGCAGCCATAGCCAAGGAATTCTGGCGAACAACTCCAGATTCTCTTTCCATTTGCGAGACAACGACGTCATAATCAGGAGCCACAGGATGGGGATTTTTTCCGTCTTCGTATCGCGATTGGGCCGAGACCCATCGAGTCCAGCCCTCCTTCAATAGCAATTTGGCGAGGTCCCAGTGTTGGTTATAGACAGCATAGTCCAAGGCGACCCGATGGTCATTGTCTTGATCACGAATAGATAAACCCTTTTGCAGTAAAATATTTGAAATCCTACTATGGCCATTTTGTGCAGCGCAATGCAATAGTGTGCGGTTACCTAAGCATAAAGTTGATATCGAAGCTCCGTTCTCCAGTAAAAGGTTGAAGATTTCCAGTTGGTCGTGAGTGACTGCAAAAGTCAGAGGCGTGAAAAACTCCATGTTTGGTGATGATACTGATGCATCATGGGTTAGAAGAAGTGCGACAGCTCCAAGATGGCCGTTTTTAACGGCATGATGAAGGGGCGTTTGGCCACTGTTGTCCTTCTTTTCTACGTCAGCCGATCCATTGATAAGCAGAGCCCTCAGGATCCCAACATTCCCGCTAATGGCAGCGCGGTGAAGCGGGGTCAGCGATTGCTGCCATTTTTTGGCCGCTTTCTTAGCCAGTTGGAGGCGGGGGGCGCGACCACCAGTGGACTTCCGAGCGGTTTGTTTGGTGCGTGCCATTATATGTAGCAGCACTCTGTAGTGGTGGAATGGTGAGCTTACAAGGCAAATTTAGCAAAAGACCGTGGGAAGCGGATGTTGTTCGCGAGTCCTCACTCGAGCTTCGCCATCATATAGTTTATGGCCAAAATGCATTATGCCTCAGGCTCTCGTTTCGTTTTTCAACCGCCTGGTCAGTTTGCCAACTCCTGAATGGTGGGTCAGATGGTGGCGGAGGCGCAGCTCTAGCTAGGCTCTACCCAAGGCAACCTGCACATAGTCAGTTGGGCATCAATTGCTTCTGACCTACACAAGCAACAACATGCCTCCTGAACTTGGCCAAGTCCAGCCGTGCTGCGAGTTCATGATATCTTGTTAATCCATTGGATAACCGTAAGATAATTTAGACTCTGTTGGCCAAAATGAAGCTTCGTGACCTGGTGCACCGAGTGAGGAAGCGATCATTGAAGTCCAAAGATAACGAGATTCTTGTAAGTATCCATAGCAACTAGGAGCCGAATACCATGCTCAGATATAATCGACTGACGGTTGTGATGCCCCGACTTTAGGAAGATCGACTTGAAGAGTCATTTCAGCAACGATTTGGGATTTTCTTATTGAACGACGCAGTCACATCAAATGTCAACGCAGTGGAGTGAGTGAAGAATCTACTGCAAATACCAGGCTCCACTGACCAGAAAGTTTTGTGGCTGTTCATGGGCTTGGGGGTCATCCGGTGCGAACATGGCAGCATGCTGAGACCAGAGCTTCCTGGCTCCAGGATTTCATCCCACAAGACATTGAGAATGCCAGGGTGATATCATATGGATATAGCTCAGTCGTGGCATTTAGTAAATCCACTGCTGGTGTTGATGAATTCGCTCGAGACTTACTCGAAAGACTGAAGGCGGTCCGCTTCGATTTAACGAGGCCTATCATTTTTATCTGCCACAGCATGGGCGGATTGATAGTTAAAAAGGTCAAAGTTCATGCCGGTGTTGTCTGAGATACATAATTTGAGACGGCATGCTAATATTGTTTCAGGCTCTTATAGTTGCCCATGAGCGGGCAGAGATCTATGGCACTATTGCTCATTCAACCGTAGGTGTTGTCTTCTTAGCTACTCCACACCGAGGATCCAGCTTTGCAGCTCCCGCCGAATTTGCATCTATGGTTCTCTGTGCAGCCCAGCTTGGGACCGGAACTAATAAAAAGCTCGTGGCATCTCTAAGAAAGAATGCTGAACTTCTCTGGGATGTCTCGTCCCAGTTCGTGGATAGGGCGAGCGGGATTCACATCAAGACTTTTTACGAGACAGATTCTTTGCCCTATATGAGTTCGCTGGTAGGTTAGCCAGCCATCTCAACTACAAGTGCAGCTAATCCCTGTGTCTAGGTTGTTGACAAGAACTCGGCTGTGTTGCAATTGCCAAACGAAATCGCTAGCCCAATGTTAAACACAAACCACCGCACTATTTGCCGGTTTTCTCATCCAGGATGTCAGAACTATGCTTTGATTCGTGCAGCCCTTCAAGATATATACTCTCAAGCAATTTTGAAAGTAAATTGCCTAAAGATACATGACGAAGCTACCCTGAGAATTGTGAGTATTAAGACTGTTTGTCCAGACTAATAACTTACATAAGTAGATTCAACAGTTCCACAAATCTGATTATATAGAGTACAAGGCGCTAGTCAAGCCACCTATTAAAGAAACCTGCACGTGGATGCTTCAAGAGGCAGAATATCTGTTGTGGCTTGAAAGCCCGTCGTCGTCCGTTCTCTGGATATCCGGTGATCCTGGCTGCGGAAAGACGACACTCGCGGCATTTCTGATCGACAGTATCAACCAGCGTCCAGAAATGCAGAATGCCGATTTCATAATGATTTACTTCTTCTTTGACGGGAATATTGCGGCTCAGCTCAACGGGACGGCGCTCGTGTCTGCGCTTATCCATCAGCTTCTGCAAGCTAAACCAACACTTGCTCCCTTGGCCGAAAAGTACTTGAAACAAAATCCGTCGAAATTTGGGCTGAGTCTCCATACTTTATGCGAAATCTTCAAGGCCATTGTTTTAGGGCCAGAGATGAAACCTTTTAGGGTTATTTGTGTTGTAGATGCGCTGGATGAGTGTGAGTCTGCATCTATGACTAGACTTATTAGCTTTTTATTCTCGATCAGTTTCGATCATAACAACAGCGAGGGCGGTAGTGGGAGCGGATGGTTCAAGCTTGCAGTCACCAGTCGCCATAGCCAACCTATTGACGACATGTTCCGCGCTTTGCCAGCTCATCATCGAATACAACTCGCAGATCACGCAGCGCACACGATGCGCGACATTTCAAGATTTGTTCAAGTTCGCTGCTCTCAAATTCAGAACATTACTCGATGTTCAGATTCCATACGCGACGTCGTCGAGAAACAGCTCATCAATCGGTCTGACAACACGTTCCTTTGGGTCCATATGGTGCTGGACTTGCTGGAAACCGACACTAACGCCACACCGCAGTCGTTTGAAACCACGCTTCGATCTATCCCAGACAGGCTAGATGGTTTATATGATGGTATCTTGCGGCGTTCGGCTGCTCCCGACGCCATGCTGCGCATACTATCCATTATAGCGGCTTCGCAGCGTGCTCTTACTCTGGAGGAGATTGAAATCGCCCTTGCGGTTCGATCTGACGACACTTACATCTGGCAAGTACACCATCGCTGTCAGTTTGATATTGCAAGACACTTGTATGCCGTTTGTGGCCCGTTCATTCGGATTCGGAACGGGACGGTGTCGTTCATCCACCATACAGCCACTGAATTTCTATTACGGGCTCCAAATATCCCAAAATCTCCAGACGAGACAAGGATATACCAGTATAAAGGATGTTTGGAATCGGCTGGGGTGAACTATTGTCTAGCCGAGATCTGTGTTATCTATCTTCTGCTTTCTTATGCGGTAAGCAGCGAGTCATCACCAGAACCTGAAGCTTACAGAAATTTGATGGAAGTTGACGACGAGCACATCTCTACCAATGAGGAATGTAGCATACTAATACGGTCAAATTTGAAGAAAGAGGGCGGCCTGTTTGACTATGCCGCGAAACACTGGGGAAGCCACTGCGGTCTAGGCAAAGTTTCATCCGCCTCTTCGATGTTCCCCAAAGTCGTTTCTCTCTGTGACACGTCTTCAAATACCTTCCGTTCATGGTTCCAACTTTATTGGGACACTATCAGCACCGTCCCACGTTTTCCGGATGGACTCACGCCCCTCATGCTGGCCTCGCACATGGGTCTCCCAGACGTAATGCGGCCACTCCTTCTGACAGACGGCAAACCGCAAAGCAAAGAGTCATCAGACTTAGCTTGCAGAGGAAATGAGCCAAGACCAAGCTATTTACGTGAGACCGACTCCGAGGGTTGGACAGTGCTTCATTGGGCCGTCTGGAGCGGGAATGGAAGCCCTATCAACATCGATGTGATGGAAATTCTGTTAGAGCTGCAGCATGACGACACCTACAAGGATGGCAAGTATGACGATGCCTGTGGCATCGGCCGGTATTGTGACAACAATGGGTTGGGAACAGACCTAGAAACTTCAGTATCAACCAGCGTCCTGGACATCCAAGACAAGAAAGGACTGACGCCGCTGCACTGGGCGGCTGCAGATGATCAAGTGGGTGCAATGCGCCTACTTCTCCACGCTGGTGCGACTGTAGACGTTTTTGACAGTGAGGGCATGACGGCTCTGTCGTTGGCTATCGATAACGATTTCCTTGGACCCGTCGAACTGTTATTGCAACATGAAGCAGATCCAAACATTACATGTAATACAGTGTGATCGACGTTATATAGTGAAATACATTACCCAGAATGGGACGCTTACTATCATTTAAAGACTATAAAATCTGCTTCTCTATTAAATAATGCCTAGCTTTTCTTATACTAGCTATTAGTACTAAACTAGGCCCTGAAGTCCTTAGCTAACTATATAAGCATCTATATTTATTTTATTACATAGCAATTAAAGGAATATCTATCTACTAGAATTTAGTATTATCTTCCCTTTTCTGCTATCCTTTTAAAGTGGTCCTTAGTCTATATTTAAAATATCTACTGCTGAATTTCGAGCAGGTCCTACACTCTCTACGCGAATATCCAGGAGTCAATAAAGATTAATTGATATGAGATTTAGAGTAGATGTCAGTCTTGATTGAAGTTATGTGCTCCCTCGGGTATATATTTCACCCACGTAGGTTAGTGATTGACTGTGTCAGCGCACTGACATAAGTTAGCGCCAGCCCCAACCCACTTTCACTACATTTACTGCGCTTGCACACTTGGTAACTCATCAATTCGGATCTTTTTTAATTCTCCTCACAGCATGACAACTGAGCAGAGTCGTGTTAGTATACCTACTGTAACAGATGGCCAAGAATGGCCCTTTCCCTATCGAATCTACCTCAACTGCGTCACCTGGACTCTGCGCAAACTTGTATCATTTCTGACCGGTCCAAATGAAGGTCATGATCGGGAAGTCAAAATCAGCACCCCAGGTTTGGGAGCGGGCTATGTTATCTGCAATGTATGGCTACCCAGCCCTACAGACGATGTTCAATTCAAGTATCCACTGGTGTTGGTTCTAGAAGGCGGTGGTTTTGTATTGGGACATCCAAAGGATGGGCGGTTAAATAACCGTCGAATTGTTGAACAGGTATGCAGCCTACGACATGCCCAGCAATTACTCGCAGCTAACGCCAGTGTAGACTGGAGCAATTGTCATGTCGGTTAACTACGCCAAAGCGCCTCGATACCCTTATCCCCATGCTTTACTACAAGCTTATGAATCGCTACGTTGGGCCATGACATCCCCAGCTGCCCGTGAAGGCATCTGTGTTGATCCGCGCCGCGTTGCGATCGGAAGAAATTCTGCCGGCGGTAATCTGACAGCAGCGTTATCGCTATTACTATCCTTTCGAGGTGGTCCTTGTTCCATCTTTAGGGAACATCTACCACTGGACTTCAAACAGGTCTTCCATTTCATGCTGTATCCCAGCCTTGAGCTTCGCTTGCCGTACAATCTAAGACTCGCCGGGTCTACAAGCGATGCCCAGAATCACAGCCTACCCGCTTGGATGGCCAGAGCAATGGAGCAGTCATATCTGCCGCCGAGAGTCTGCAAAGACGACATCTTTGTATCTCCCGTCGCTGCTGGTGTAGACCTGCTCCGTGAGCTGGATATTGCACCTGCTGTACTGTTCACCGGTAGCCTCGATTGCCTCAAAGAGGAGGGTTTCTGTTATGCGCAAAATCTTGCGAAAAGCGGCAAGGAAATCACTTTCCATGAATTTGAAGACGGTACTCACGGGTTCTCAGTTAAACCGCAGGATGGGAACATGGAGGCACAGATCATCTACAAGGAGTGTTGGACTAGAATATGCCATTCCCTTAAAGAGATGTTCTCATAGCCAGAAATAGCAAGGAAGTCGATAAGAATCGTTATGGAGGTGTTGTTGAACTTGCCAAGCTCTAAAGTTCTGAGCTAGATGTGTTATTTGCAGTTGAGACTTACGACTGAGCGCCTCAATCAGCAGAAAGAACCTAGAACTTTTCAAGCGACGTATGTGGCGAGATCCATAGCAGAGGCTCGGTAGGAATCGAATCATGCTGGCCTTTCATAGACTTATATATATATATCTACTAAGGTGGCATTGAATGCCGCGGGATTATTGAAGAAAGTGTTTTGGGAAGAGACATGGGGGCAAGTAGCATGAAATATAGGACAGTGTAATGATATAGAAGGGACACTGAAATGGCATTTTCTTCCCTCCTCTACCTCAGCTACATGTCTAGCCACCCGTCTCACATAGAAGATCTAGCCAATAGTTCCAGGTTAACAGCTGCTGTAACTTTATGAGGCACTTCCTAGAGGTCCCGAGCCCTCACTATTGGACTAAATACGCATAAGCTCACTGCCAAGCCCAACTCAATTGATGTGCCGAGGTCCATTCTCTCCTCAATTACCATCATTCTTGATTTGACCTGGAAGCCGTAGCACAGGAGAATTACTCTGAGTCCTTGACCGCTGAATCATTGATCTTGGTGGTAATATCTTGGCTGTTAACGTCCATTTGCTGATCTTTTCCCTTATTGTTTATGTAAGATGACCTCGGTATAATCATGGTGTTTAGGTATTTTCGCAAGAAGATCTCACCCTGGATTAGCGTCCTTCTTTAAAATATCCCGCCATTCAAATAACACTAACCAAGGGAACTAGTGAGTTTGACTCGGTAGAGTTCCGCATCGTGAGATTGCTACCGAAAAGGCTAGGTCGACAAAACGTTGTTGGCATTTCCTAAAACGATGCAGAGTCACGAAGCTCCGAGAAATCATACTCTAGTGCGATAATTCCTGAGACAGTCTTTTATTAAGTGATTCGTTGGAAACGCTGATGGTGGTGTTGTGAAGTGCGGGGTCCTGGTCTTATGATGAGTGAAGGTAAGATGTTTGTGTGTATGAGCTTCCCCTCCTTATGGAATGGAGCCGAGGTTTGGAGAAGGCTTGGGAGGTAAGCGGGCAAGATGTAGGAATCGTTAGATGATGAGATAGGATTGAGTATAAGGGTAGAAGAAAATAGTAGGGGGAAGCAACTTGAGAAATTATTATAAATAGACGTCGTTATCCCGTCGGAATGAGTTTCTTCACCTCACAAGCATCTCAATCATTCCACAATCACCAGCAACTCACAAGAACACTTCAGTCCAATCATTGACTCATATCAATCATGAAGTTCACCACTATCCTCTCACTCTTCGCCGCTACGGCCGTGGCTCTCCCCACTTCCAACCCTCTCTCTGAACGTGAAGTTCTTGCTGAGCTCGAGAAACGTCAATCTGGAAGCATCACTCGTGATGATCTCTCCAACGGCGCTTCATCTGCTTGCCCCCCTGTTATTTTCATCTATGCTCGGGGTTCCACTGAGCTTGGAAACTTGGTGAGTCTTGTCTCTGTTCAGTGATATAGATCGAGTTGGCTGACTTGATAGGGAACACTTGGTCCTCGAGTCGCTTCTGTGCTTGAGAGCAACTACGGTAGCAATGGAGTCTGGATCCAAGGAGTGAGTCGATTCCCTGACAATATTCAGTTTCACTTTCTGACTGGTTGAATCATAGGTTGGCGGAGCATACCGTGCTACCCTTGGCGACAACGCCCTTCCTCGAGGAACCTCTTCGGCAGCCATTCGAGAGATGATCGGACTGTTCAACCTTGCAAACTCAAAGTGCCCTTCTGCCAAGATCGTGGCTGGGGGGTACAGTCAAGGTGCTGCCCTTGCTGCAGCCAGTATCGAGGATCTCAGCACTTCTGTCCGCAACAAAGTCGTCGGCACTGTGCTGTTCGGATATACCAAAAACCTGCAGAATCTTGGCCGCATTCCAAACTACCCACGAGAGCGAACCCTGGTCTTCTGCAACTTTGGAGACTTGGTTTGCACTGGCTCCTTGATTGTTGCTGCACCCCATCTTGCTTATCAGTCCGATGCTTCTGGACCTGCACCCCAATTCCTCATTCAGCGCGTTGCTGCTACCTCGATCTAGGAAGGCTTCGCTTTGGCACAGTAGTGAAACTGGTGTGCTTGCCATAGGGTACCCGGGGCCCTGGGCAGTGGAAAGACTTTTCGCTCTTCATTATGATTGGTTTGCTATGTTGTTGTTGACGTAGCTGTTCTTTTCTTTCCCCTTAAGTGTCACTCCCTTGACAATTAGTTCATATCGACCCTGGAGGCTGAATAACACTTTCTCTTCTATCTATAAGCTATACTTCTTCACCAAGTGACGTTTACAATATTGCGCTCTATGGTTTATATGTAAGACAAAAACTTGAATGCATCGAGGTCTAGTATATCTCTGTAATAATGTGCCTATTTATTCTTCTACCCTCCGTTCCCGACTATTCATAGTCGACGCCGTTCCTGAGAGTGCCAATCTGTGTAATCTTGACCTCCATTTGAGTTCCAGGTACAAGGTACTTTGGCGGCTGTAAGCCAGCACCAACACCTACACATTCACAAGTCAGCTCAAGCTCACACAAACATCACTTATTGAGATGACTCACCTCCTGGAGTACCCGTCATGATAACACTTCCCTTCTGCAGTGTAGTTCCGGACGAAAGGTGTGCAATTAAGCGAGGAATAGAAAACACAAGGTCATCGAGACCTGCATCCTGTCGAGTTTCCTTGTCCACAATTGTCTGCAGATGGAGTTTCTCGGGTGCTGTTATCACAGAGCTTGAAACCAGAGCAGGACCTAGAGGCGCAAAGGTATCGAAACCCTTTGAGAATCCCCATTGCGGCACTCCACCAGCGAGATTCGGGTCTCTTTGCCATTTTCGAGATGAAATGTCGTTGCCTGCTGTGTAAGCAGCGACGTAGTCGAGGGCCTCACTCTCCTTGACGTTCTTTGCATCCTTCCCAATGACCACAACCTAGATCTGTCAGTATGCATCTGTAGTAATGTGGCTTGGAGCGTACTAGTTCTCCCTCATAGTCTGCTTGGTCATCCTGGGCGACTTTGGGGATCACCACGTTGACTCCGTGGTCATGTATTGTTGTTGAAGGCTTGAAGAAGATGGAAGGAAAAGGCGGTGTCTTGCGTCCAGCCTCACGAACTGTCGCCGTATTAGTACGAGTCTTCGGGGTATTTTTGCTCGTTGATGTCAGAAATACTTACTGTGTGTAGCATAGTTGAGTCCCACGCATCTGAGAATGGATACATCGCTAGCAACAAGGGGTCCCAACAAGGTTTTGACTGTCACAACTTCATCTGTAACACGTGTGACTCCATTTGTGTCGTAAAGGTCATCTCCCTCAATGACACGCGCCTGAAGCTTTGTCTCTTCGGTGGTATCTCCAAGATCAAAGTCGGGGGTCGGGAGGATGGGCTCTCCGCGCAAAAGACGCCCGTCAGTTGAGACGAATCGGATCAAACGTTGCCAAGCTACCTTCATTGTGAATTTTTGTGTATTCAATTCCTTGTCACTATAATTCTTCGATAACTAAAGCTCAAAGTAGGAAGTATATGTCTTGGGCCTGTTTTGATACCTGCCTCTTGTTCCGACCGTCCCGATAGTGCCCCGGAAGTGGAGCTAACACGATGAGGTGGATACCAGAGTAGTCACTGAACCAATTGAAGGAAATGTATTTGCGCCAGTGTAACAAAGGCGTAACCTTCAACTCCGCAAGCACCAGAAGCGAGATGGGGACGGAAGAGAACACGCCATTCCAATTGGCCGTATCAACACAAGCCAAACCAAAGGTGGAACAGAGTTTAGAAGTGCCGTAACCCCCAGTTTCTTGTCTCATTAATTCTGGGGAAATGCGGAGACAAGATTTGTCAACCTGGATACAAAAATCGGCCCATCCCAATGTTGCCCCGATCAAGGCTACTCGTGGCATCTCCAATCGTACCATCATGACCCCCCGAGATGACTCTCCACCAGCTTCGGCCAGAAGCGGAACGTCTCAGCCGCCAAAAGCAAATGCGTCGGAGCCCGCGCCAAAGAGACGCCGAGTCGCGCTGGCTTGTTCGGCCTGCAGAATCCGCAAATCACGGGTAGGGTCTGCTTCTCACGCGTCATTGGACGATTGACTGATGGAATTAGTGCAATGGAGTGCGACCAAGATGTGACACGTGCGACAAGCTGGGATTCGATTGTTCATATGAACAGCAGGAAACTTCAGCGAATCTTCTAGTCCCAAAAGAGTAAGGCAGACGTCTCTTTTTCACTACCCTGGACTGTTATGAATCATGTCTAACATGAAGATGTGTGCAGCATCTTTGCTGCCCTAGAGGCCAAAGTGAAGCTGTTGGAAACGAATCTTGAACAGCATAATGTTAGACTGAATTTGGTTGAGGGTACACTAAAAACGTCAGGAAGTTCTAGGCAAGATGTCACGCTTCCACTGCATCACCAACCTGGAAATGTGGTGCTCAACATCGATGAGATACCAGAAAATGGTGCTGGTCAGAGTATGACTGATGGCATGGCTGTCTCTTTCGTAGATGAGCAAGACTGCGGTTTCTTTGGTACGCAAACACGGTCTGGCCCTTTTTTTGACCTCCTCTAACCCATTCTCTAGGCCCATCATCCAACATCGCACTTATGCGACACATATTGCGAGCTGTTGATACAAAAAGGACACAACATGGCAACCAGACTTCATTAACACCAGCATCAGAGTACAGTGCCTACGAAGGTGGCCTAGTGAGTAACCTGAACGCGTTTCCAGCACCCTCAAGTGAGTCTCAAAAGGTAGGCGCCAACCTCCTACCGCCAGACGAGGTCATGCAGCGTCTCATCCGTGCGTACTTTGACAACACGGGTCTCTTGTTTCCGTATATACACGAGCAAGAGTTTCTCGACACTTATGAACGATTTCGAGCAAGTGGCTTTCGGGGTAATGTTCGCCGGACTTGGCTCGGCCTGCTGAACATGATTCTCGCAATGGCAACTTGCACTTCGTGCTGGGAGGACTCGGGAAGTGAGACAACTTTTGAGGAGTCGGATGTGTACTATCGTAGGGCCCAGGAGCTTTGCCATACACAGATGTTTAGGGGGACTACCCTCGAAACAGGTGAATCACCTCTTTCGACTATGCCTCTCGTCTTAGGACTGACACCTTTCAGTACAATACCTCCTACTGACGAGTCAGTATCTCCAGGGGACGCACAAGTCGGTTCATACATGGACTATTCACGGCCTCGCTGTCAAAGCTGCCATGTCTATCGGACTCCACTCAAGAGATATAGCGTCCAAATTCACTCCTCTCCAGCAAGAGATAAGGAAACGCACTTGGTTCGGATGCATTTTGCTCGATAGGTTGGTTTTCCGCATCACCAAGACTACTGATGAAAAAGTCATGTCAGCTGACACAACTATGCAGAAGTCTGAGCCTCACGTTTGGTCGCCCATCTGCTATACCAGAAGAGTACATCCGTTTGGACCTCCCAAAAATATTACCAGTACCGATATCGGCTTCCGATGAAGTCCATAAAATGAGCACTGCATTCTACAACGCCTCGATGTAAGAAATCATAGTACCTCAAATATGACCCGCTGACCTGACCTGTCTAGAACTCTTTACAGGATCATGGGGCGAATTATTGGCTCACTTTATGGTAGCAACCTTGGATGTGAAGACCAATCATCAGATACAGCTACAATGACATCCATGATTCAGTTCGGCCAGGAGCTTTCAGACTGGCAAAACAGCTTGCCTCAGCATCTGGGCTTGCGTTCTGTGGATAACATGCCAGATAATGCAGATGAGAATATCCAGGATCCATTGCGTGAAAAGTTCAGAATCATTCTCACGCTCAGATATCTCAACGTTCAACTCCTCCTCCATCGCCCGATATTCATTCGGTCTCTAGGTACTCTGCTCCGAGAGGCCAAAACGCCATATCGCAACGCGGGATCCATCAACAGCATGCACGCCAACTTTGACAGAGTCTTTGTCCAAGTTGCGGAAAACATCATAGATATTATATACACCATTTTGACAAGACCCGATCACGGGCGCCATTTCATCGGCGCTTGGTGGTTTACTCTCTACTATGGTAAGTGACCAACCGCAATGATTTCTTGTGGTGAGCTAACTTGTGAAAAAGCCTTTAGTGCAGCGTTGGCCATCTTCGGCAGCTTGTTGATATCTCTCGGCGCTGAAGCTGGAAACGCTGGCCGCCTTGAAAGTGCAAAACGATATCTCGGCAAGACTTGCGAGGCTCTTCTGAAGCTCAGCGATAACAACACCCTTGTCCTACGTTGTGTCAAATTTGTACAACAACTTCTCCGGATCGTGAGCGCCTGGGGTTAGTATTCCTTACTAACTTTTCATCACCCTTCACATCATTGACAAACTTGTAGACGCGAGCACTGCGACCCGAGCCGATCTTAACAGTGACTCTTTGGGATCATACTTGACGGCAGAAGGGGGCCCTCTTAATTTCGACATGGAGTCGGATTTGTTATCAACAATGCCGACGTGGGAGACATCAACGCTTGGGTTTGGGGATGAGCTTGAGTTGGGTCATTTCTTTGCTAGTGATTCTCAGCGGTGGTTTGAGCAGACACAATGGTAATCTCCAATATCTCCAATATGTTGGTGCCACAAAAAGCCAATGACGTAAATTAATAAAACGTGTCGCGCGTCATAGTATGAGCGACTTTAACGTAACGAACAACAGTGACAGCAAGTGATTGCCAGTGACTCCGCTATTGTGTCTCAGTAAAAGAGATTATAGAAATCGTACCCGTACATAAGTATGAAGAGCATCGGATCTGAGAATCGGCAGTTGGTACGGAGTAGGTACTTGATGAATCTCGGCGGTCCGAGAGACATTACGAAATCCGCTTAGTCAGCGGCCTTCGCGTTTTGAGTTCAAACCTGCCGCGTGTTTCCCCACGGGGAACTATCGGTACGATATCGTATCGATTTACGGAGAGCGTAGGTCCAGTCAATTGAAAACGATGATATAGACAACGTTTATGAATCAAAACTTCAGAATGAATACTACAATCACAAGGCTATCTACCAAACTTGTCTGGCTTAATTCTTTCCATCAATTCATCAACCATGTCTAAAGAAATATCCCCTGGGGGCTATCACTGGCTTAATGCCACCATCAACAGCCTCGATCCAGAGACCGACTATGAACTCATGTGGCGCCTCATGTCATGCTACCGTTCAAATGACTTCATGAACAACATGATCTACGCCCTTACGTTTCCCAATTTTATCATCACAACCCATGGCTGCGAAACTGTCTGGCGCTCAGACGGTGGCAAGGTTGTGAAGCGGGGAGCTCAGCGCGTCGAAGACACCGAGAACTACAACATGACGTGGTGGCACTACGGACCAAGCGATAAACGATGCCGTGATGCAGTAGAGCACATCAACAACCTTCATGCGTCTCTGGCGCGTCGTTACCCTGGCAACTTCTCGTACAACGAAGATTTTCTGTACGTCACGACTTTCAGTGCTGTACTCATGCACCGTCTTCGCCTTCGATTGGGATTATCAGGTTTCACCGAGAAGGAAAAGATTGCGGCTCACCACTTTTGGCGGGATATGACGCCGCTGTTTATCAGAGAGGACGGGAACTCTGTTACCGGATATCCTGAAGACTTTGAGGGCTGTATCCAATTCTGCGAAGACTATGAAAATGAGAAACGCGAGTTCGATGTGAAGATGCAATACATCGGCCTGGCCATCTTCAATCAGTTCGCGTTCCGATACTTTCCCTACGGCTTTCGATGGCTGGGAGTGTCAATAGTTAAAGCTCTTACACTGCCTACAACTATTAGGGCAATGCAGCTAGAACCAGTCAACCCAATTTTTCAGTGGCTAATTGTGTTTCTTGTTGGAACGGCGATGAGTCTTGCTGAGACCCTCTTACCAGACCCGCGTGAGTCGTTTTGGAAGAAGATTGAGACATTGGACGTAGAGAAGGCAAAGGCGAGGAAAGAGGATATCAGAGGGAGCGATCAAGCGTACTGCCAGTATATCAGATCGGAGTGGAGTGGTCCTGGGTGTCCGTTTGCTATGAAAGCTGAATAGTAGGGATTCATAGGAAGACTAGTAAACACCTAGTCGCTGAGATATGAATAAGCTTGAATAACTAATGATTATTGCTGTTAATTACCAATGATGCTGTCTTATAAGACATCTATCATGGGTTCCTGGATACCTAAGAGATAATCTAGTGACTGCATAAGCTGAATGTCCTTCTGCCCATCCAGAGACTCAGAGTCTAACATCTCATGGTCTGATTTCTTAGGGGCTGCGTTAAGCCTATCTACATCATTGCGGAGGCACAGGGGAAAATCTAGACTTTCGGGTAGCTTCCTCCGATTAACACACATGTCCACAGTCCACACAAGGCCCAGATATACTTCTGGATGCCTCACCAGAACGTCGACCCAGTCTTTCATCGCTTCTTGACCTGACCGCAATGAAAGCTTGTTAAATGACTGGGCGAGTTTCGCCACGTGTTCTGCTACTTCCTTGACCCACTGAGAGCCATAGTATTGAGCAGAAAAAGTGTCCGCTGCATCTGTCACAACTTGTAGGTGTTTCTGTATGGGGTCGAAACTAAAAGAGGGCCAACCTCCCAGAGGGCTTGGGACTACCTCGTATTCGGTGGATAGGCTTGTGTTCACATGGTGCAACGCAAGAGGAATTGCAAGGCAGCTCGTTCTTTAGCACAGTTTGGTCAGTATATATGCATTCAGACAACTGGAGAGGCGCTTGGTTGACTTACACTGTGATGGGAAGATACTTTGTCAAGTGAGATCCTGTTAGTGAGCCTATGCATTTAGACAGACCCAAAACAGAGTCTTCAATATCCCCGCGGATCTCGTTACTCCTATTGTCGCCTTGGAAATCATCACGATGATAGTCAGGGCTCCCCATTCTTGAAATCTGCGTGAAGACTCTGCGATTGCAAAGAGCAATGCAAGACGTGCTAGATGTTGTCAGACCATACTTCATAAGGACCAGGACTTCCAGAACATACTGGTAGTAAATGTACATAAGATTTGTATGTACAGCGATGGAATTCACTGAATCACTTTCCTCGGCCGCGATGGGTTGATGGAAGGGAGGAAACTCAGCCTTTGCTGTATTATACCACTCCTCGAGAAGATCACAAGACTTTCTAATATTTTCTTCTTCCCGTGCCGAAGAGTCTGGACTTGACTCAAGATGTGTCTCAAAAGGATAGGCAACTGGGATAATCTCTGTCAGCAACATTAATAGGCTCAGGTTCTTGGAGAACAGAGATATATGTTGGCGCTTAGTTGCAGGCGAGAAAACATTTGATCGATGTATCTCACTCTGTAAATCGGCAAAACCCAGCGGTATGCAGTTCTCCATGTCGAGCATGTCAGGCGTGATCTGAAGACGAAAGCGACAAGCGAGAGATGATAATCTGTCACAAATAATGCAACACCACCAAAGTCTTCGAAGTGTTTTTGACCGCGGTTCATGTGCTGTTGTTCCAATGTCACATATTCCTGCGTGGCGATGGGCGTTGATGAGCTTGGCATGATCTATGGCTAAGCTAAGCCATGTTCTATAGGGTACAGGCGAAGTTGTCGTAGGCGATTCAGGTACCCAATTCATGAGCAGTAATGCAGCTTGAGCCCGTGGCAAATGAGATGTCTCAGCCTCCATATCAAACAGAAGCTATACGCTGTCAGTCTTGGTCACCATATGAGAGTTTTGGCTTACCTTTGCTTTCCGATATAGATCAGCCCTTGCGGAGCATATGTCGTGATATCCAATCTGACGCAGAACAGGAAGAGGTACATACTATGGGCGATATTAGCAGGTCGTTCGCCGAGACTGGTCAGGAAGTCTTCAGAGCATCATACAGTACTGCTAGCAAATAGCATCGCCCGAAGGACGAGAAGCGACATGGAGATCCTTTGTGAACTGTTTGTGGCTGGAGAAAACATTTCCCAGAACTCTCCTTCGTCAATGAGAGGGATGAATACATGGGCGTATGTAAAGTACGCCTTCGTAAAGACATCCAAGATCAGGGGATTTGGTACATGCAGACACCCTTGAGCTTCGAGATAAGTGATGTCCTGGTAGGGAATGGCATGTATGTTCCCGACTGTCAGAAACTGGAAATATGAGTATAGAACGACCCCATCCTTTGGGCTTCCTGCGTCACTTGGTGACCCTGTACTGTGCTGAAAGATATTTCCTTTCTTGTTGTTAGAGATTGGGTATCGCGAGCCAAGTCACAGCGCTACTCACCAATAGGGTCCAAACGAGGCTGCTTTTCAGTGGGCAGGGAGGAACTCCAGCCATCGTAAGCGGCAGGCTCGGGTATGGGGGCGAAGTCCAGAGGGTCCATCTGCCAATTCTGCCATGGCTCACCGGCGCCCTTTGTCTGTAACGAGAAACTTGAGCTGGCCAGCTGCGGTAGCGATAACTGACTATCCAGACTGAGCTGTTCAGTCGCATTTGAGGCAAGGTCACTGCTCAGGGTGTCGGGGGTCTTTATTGCATTCCGCAAGGATCGTCTATCGGAAGCCTTCTGGGTCCTACGAATAACGCGTCAACCGATATAAGCAGGGGAGCGGAGAAGTTTACGACCTACCAAACAGCTGATGTTTTTGATAATTGGCACTCTTTATCGTCGAGAGAGCAATTCGTGCATGGCTGGCCATGGACAGACACGTCGCATCGAACTTTTCTTGACCGACAGATTAGACACGCCTGTAGCGAGCGCTTGTGAAGGGCTTTGGACCGTGTGATGGGTTTTGTGGCTGGAGACATTTCTGAGATACTCAACGATAGGGAGTGGTCAGACACTAAACATTGGGTTTAAGCAATGATTTTGTGAATATGTTATTATGAAGGTTTGAGAAAGAAGTCAAGGGGGACTGGAAGCTACGGTATGATTGCGGGGAAGCCGGCTCGAAGCAGGTTAGTTAGTGTGACTAGACTCGCACTCGGACAGAAGAGATGTTCCGCGATCTCCAACGAATTATGGGGTCCCCACGATCCGAAACTCAAAATGTTACTAAGAAATTATTAAGGTCTAGTAAGTCCTTGTCGGCTCAGATCAAATACCGATTTCCTCTGCCGAGGATTTTATCTCATCTGGCTCACATCTTGTGGATATTCTCTGCAGCAGTCTCGGGGTAACCATGCGTTATCCGAAACGCGATGGATGTAAAAAGAAAGTCCTCTATTCAATTTAAATATCTATTTAGTCTCTCATTCTATAAATTCCCTCGACTGGTCTTTCTATCCTAAAAGATGCTCTTGAGAAACTCAAGTTGCATGTCAACCACTTCTTGGAACCTCTTGCCGTAGTACAGATCAAAATGGCCACTCCCCTTTACAATTCTGAGCGTCTTTGGATGCAATGCCTTCTCAAAGGCCTCGAGCTGCAGATGAGTATAGGTGCACACATCGTCATCCGCCAGAACCATGAGCAGTGGCGTAGGCGAGATATGATGAATAACCCCCGTCGGCTCGTGCATGATCGTGTTGGTCAAACTCTGGAGAGTAGCCGTCTTGTCGTAGCTGTAGCCTCGTCGGGCCATTTCCGCCGCAAACTCCACGGCCCCCTCATCCTTCAGAATAGCCTTGGTGGTCCCATCTCGGACCTCCTCGACAGAGCTGGGATAGATCGGGATATGGATCTCTGAGTTCGGGGTGCGTTGAGCGACTAGGATAGGTTTCGGAGCTGCGGTGAGGCGAGCCATAGAACCGCCCGACACAAATGGGACTTGCGAAATAATTCCCGCCAGGCTCTTGTTCATGGAAGCGGCGACAATAGCGTTGCCTCCAGACAAGCTGGATCCCCAGTACACGATCTTAGTTGGATCGACATCAGGAAGGGCTGCAGCGAAATTGAAGGCGTCGAGGTAATCGCGTGACTGCTTCACGGGATCGGCTTCAGCGCGAGGAAGGCCCTCACTATCGCCCCAGCATCGATTATCGTAAACCAACGCTCCATAGTCAGCTTCGTTGAACTTGGCAGCAAGCTCTGGCAGGAAATGATCACGGTGACCAGAGAACTATAACGTCGAATTAGGATATTTGTCGCATTAGCATTGGTCGACTCACCCCATGGGTCATAATAATGCAAGGCCTTTTGGGCCCAACACTGTAGAAAGTGCCTTTCAAGTTCAAGCCATCATAGGTAGTAATATCCACGTCTCGTATAGAGGCCATTTCCAAGGTTGCTGGGGATTATTCAAGATTTTTATTGCTCTAGGGTTGGTCTTGTAAAGCCTGGATAAAGAATGTAAAGTAATGTGTCTTTGCGGATTACCATTGTCTTGGCCTTATATATTATTTCTTCAAGGCATTAGCCCAATATTGAAGTTCCCGGCATATCGGTACTGGACTTGCAGATGACACCCATCCACGAATTGTAGATGCTTCCCGAGACCCTCGGCCGCTAGTGGGGGAAGATAACAACTTCGCACCAATAGTTATCTCTTGTGTCTCCTCGGCAAACCCGAGGCCCCACCCTGATGGAGCATATAACTGGAACAAAAGGAAAGGTCTATCCATAACTGCGAAGTTTAAAAGGTGAACCCAAGGCAAGTTCGAACTTTAGTAAATCAAATGTTATCTGCTATAATGGCAGTAGAAACCCGTAGCTATACGTCATCGCTCTATTAAGGATCCTCTCATCCTCAGTGGCATCAGTCAGCAACACCTGGCGTCACAAGGGAGATGCCCCATGAAGGAGCAGCTCGTTGCCGCTTGATCTCTGCTTTGAGTTTGTATCTCACGACGGCGTGGTGTGGTGCACCCACATCCCCCTCTTGAACGAGGCCTTGGGGAACTCGAACAAGCTTTGGTCAAAGCAGAGCATTAGGCTTTTGATACAGAGGTGCTAGATACCAATGATGGCATGTGAAATACCGCTCTAAGCATCTTCTGGCGCATGGAGGCAAAGCTCCGAGACAAACGCTAGAGCTTGCGCCGGAGCCCTCCATGGCAGGTACCATGGTGCCCCCGAAGTCGATGGCACTGACAGCTATTGAATTGGAGAATGAGTTTAAGGTCTTGCTTATGATGCGGCAAATATTATTTTAACCAGGGCAGGACACGGTGCATTTGACGAGAACCAGGCATTCTATCTATGCTATCATTACGCCTTTAGGTCAGTATATCGATCTGTAGGATACGGTGGAAAACTTCCTTTACGAAGCCGTATCTAATATTATCGTCGGCTAAGTGCGATTATTCCTGCTGGTAATGGTGATGTTCTTCTGGATCCGTTACCTGCTCCGAATTAAGTGCTAGTACCCCTTTCTGAGGATGGCCGGAAGAAATGAGAAATAATGTAATCCGTTGCTTATGTTTCGAGAATTATACCTTTAATACTAATATGCTGATGTTTTAGACGTTACGTCATAGTGGCATTTATCGACATCCCTTGCCTAGAATCAAATTTAGGTCAGATTGAGAGACTTTACTACAAGGTAGTCACCTAAGAGCCATATAGTGGCAGATTTTAAACATGGCATCTATAAAACATGTGGATAGATTGACAAGAATCGACTTCAAGGATATCGATCGAAGAATCCCATGTTTATCGAAATCGTAGTTTATCATCAGCGAAGGCGATGTTTTGTGGATTGGCACCTTGTGGAACCAATGATGAAGCGAGGCGATGCCCGCCCAACCTTGCCTAAGCAGGACTAGTTCCCTTAAGTTCCGCCCCTCCCTGAAAGCCGAGACCACCATGGACCCTTTGGGCAGAAAAGGGTGGCAAAAACCTGGAGACGACTCAAAACAACATTAAACGAGGCCCCTCTGCAGCAATAGAAGATACCCTTCTACCATTATAGTACCTACGTATTACGCAAAGCTAGGGAACGAGTGATTTCACATGCATATGCAGCAGCTACGGCCACTGAAACCGGCCAAGCCATTATCGAATGATGATGACGCGTCGCCCAAGACCTCGACTTTGTTGTCGCTTTCGAGCTCAGCCTTGATCCCAAGGGCAAGGCGCCGCGCTCACCAAGCCCAAGCCGGGCAGGTCCCTGCTTGCGAGATTTGTCGAAAACGCAAGATCAAGGTTTGTTGCATCCATCACCTTTGAATCACTGGTGGGTGCTCAGTGCTTACTATGCCCGCCTCCGGTCACCACGAGTACCACGGCTTGTGCTGCCATCAAGACTAATCTATACAAGATCACGCTAATGTGGATCTGGTCTTGCAGTGCGACCGTGGCCGACCAGAATGCTTCAATTGCACCGAAAGGGGCGTGCAGTGCCAGTATCGCTATGGCCCGGAACCAGCCGCGAGCCCCTCCCAACTTGAAAGATTGGCTCGCATCCTCAAGGAGCCTGGCGCACTCTCCAACCAACTCACGACATTGCCCTATCACGATGCTTTGGTGTTGCTCAACATGCTCCGTGAGATGCCACGCGATCCTCAGCCTGAGCCTGAACCTCAACCTCGGGCGGCAACATCCTCATCGCTGTCATCCCCATCTCCCTCGCCGCTCTCATCACCACCCTCCGGGTCCCCTACACCCTCGCTTCCCCAATACAACATCGTGGGAAGCCTTTTACCTCCAGTTTCCGCCGGAATGGAGTTTGAGCTCATGGTTCGGCACCCAATTGCTTACCCAGTCTTGCTTCCTGTCACCGTCAGCTCCCTGCCTCTAACGGAGTTGCTTGCCCCTCGGAGATCCGAAACTTTTGGCAATTCTCTACTGGAAGATACCAAGTATTTACGTCACCAAGAGTTGCCGGCCACGAGCACGAGCAAAGGTGGTACCACTCCAACTAGCTCTTATGCAGGGCTGTCGCATCTGACTGAATCGCACATCCACCTACTTGACCAAATCAACATATCTTCCTGGACAACTTTGCCCATTCCTAATCAAGTAGCAGTCGAAGCGATTGCCCTCTACCTCAACAACGACTATCCTGTTCTTCCCCTCTTCGACGCCGACTTGTTCCTCCACGATCTTGTTCACAACCAGCCATACTTCTGCTCCAGATTCCTCGTTGCAGCACTCCTGGCTTGGGCATGCGTAAGTCAACCATAAAAGCCCTTGTCGTCTGTAATGAGCCTGATAGCCAACACTCATCCTGATACTTGACAGCAAGCCTACACTCCCATGCAAGCAGAGGCTGCCCATTACTCTACGGCCTTTTTTGCCGACGCTCGAGCTCAGTGGAGTCAGTATGGCCACCGTGAATCTATCACTCTGTCCAATGTGTCTGCCTTGCAACTGCTCTGTATGACTGCCGTCACCCATGGAAAAGATGACCTTGCTTTTCAATATCTCCGGAAAGGACTGCAAGTGGCAAAATCTATGGGTCTTGTCAACCTGGCATCTGGAGCAGAGCCAGCGGATGCGTGGTTCAGCGGCCATGCGGACTGGACGAGAGCCGCGTCGTATGTTGCATGGGGTACCTTCAATTGGGTCTCGTGAGTCAATACCACTCTGGTCATTAATTGGCCATTAATCAGCTTGCGGCTAAACACCAAATCTATCCAGAGTGTTCTCGCTCCACTACCACAAGTCTGAGCTTGACTTTCCACCGAGACTTTTCATGCCAGGAGATGTTGAAGCTGTCATCGCCGCGGAAGAAGGTGGCCAAGTCCTGCCGCCCACCAGCGAGGTCTTTAATGCCACCTGTAAACTCTGGACAATTTTCACCGCTGTGACCAAGGCTTACTACGGGCAACACGACCACATCTGGCTTGACCAAAGGAACGCGCTCGACTTTGCAGAAGATATCTACCGCCAACTTCTGGCCTGGGCGGACGGACTGCCTCTGAGCCTGGTTCGCTGCGAAGGGAGTAGTCATGCTGTCTTCATGTTGCAGTAAGTTACCTCACTCTCTATCCTGTTCGAGAGCTTTGGGGCTGACTTGGTTTCCAGTACTTATTACCACGCCATCATCACCGATGTTTTTCGCCCTTTTGTGAACATGATGAATCATTCCAGGTTGATGCTGCGCACATTCGGCACAGATCGGGCGACACCCAAGGCTGTGTACCACGCCTCAATCCGTCAAATGAAACGCCTTTTACTCTCATACCGACTCGAATTTAGCTTGGAGGCATCATCGGTTCTCTGGCAGACGTGCGTCATATATGTGGTAAATGCAACAATACGCGACGCTGAAACCAACCGGGACGAGATGCTCTTTTTCCTACATCTATGCTTGGCCGGTCTGAAAGAACTGTTTATGTCCTACAGAGTTTTTGGCTCGATCACCAAGGGAATACTTGGCATAGCAATTCGGGAAAAGGTTCTAAGTCACCAAGAACTTTGCCGCTACCTTGGTAGGCTCAAGACGATTGGAGAACGTTACAAGGTCAAGGACGACGACAACGAGATGAGCGGAGTAATGGCGAAGTGGATAATTGATCTGGACCTTGCACTAACAGATCCTGAACTCGCCCAAGGTGGTAAGCTTGCAGAGCAGACTGATCGCATGAGCGAGGAGTGCCCATCCTAAGACGAAAAGGTGATTGATACTGGTTGTTTCACAGCGTCTGGTGTCAATAACCTGAAGAGTAAATGGCATCAAGATTGTTAAATGGAAACCGGGCGAGCGATTAATAAGATAAGATAAACGCAAATAACACAGCTCCCGCTAGAGGATATAAAGAATTCCAGCACATCGAAAAACACGGAGGAAAAGAAAAGACAGGAATGTGCTACCTACACCGACTTTCTAGAGTTGTAAGAATGCAATCGAGCAGATATGCGGGCACATCTCTTTGCCTGGACCAAATCGCAGAAATTACAGAGGGGATATGGATCAGAGGGGACACCTCGCCAGCGAGGTGTATTTGTGACGCCACATAAATAACAGCGCTTGACCATGTCCGTATGCTATTCCCAGTGTCAGTGCGAAGGCATTCAAGGCTAAATAAATGCAAGACTTGGGCAGTACCTTTTTGGGATGCAGAGACCTGGGCGTTGTTCTTGATCTTGACACGACGTGAGCTTTGGATGATGAAGGACCATGTAGCAGCCCATGGCGTAGCATCAGGTCCAAAGCCTGACTGATGTCCGCAGCGAGCCCGGCCATTGTCGATAAACTCGTGTCGGCGATGCTATATGTTTTATCGAGGGTCCGTTCGAGATCATGGTGTTGGATGAGGCAGTTCAGCGTATGGGCTTTTTGGTGTATCTGGCGCCGAACGTAAATATGAGTCACGAGAGGATATGGATTAGAAATGGAGCGCTTACCGTTTGGATCTTGTCTGCGACGTCAACAAGGCAAGGAGATCCGGAGCTGGTACTAGTAGGGAGTAGAAAGAAGTTGCATGGCTCGGCTTGGGGCTCAATAGATGCACAAGCCATGTTGTTGTCGGGTCGAGATGGCATCTGCTTGGTGACTGACTAAATTGGCGGCTTAGTGTTGGTGTTGGTCTGGAAATATGGTAACTAAAGGAAGATGCGATAGAGTAGGTAAGGTGCGGAATACGAGATAGAGTATGTCACTCGCCCATGCAAAAGAATTCGATGTATTTGGGACATGGCAATTCTTGTGGCACATGGTTGAAATTTAGTATTACTCGACTTTGTTGTCAAGCTGTGAGATCCTGTTTGCGTCAAGGGCCTCTAGCGAATGAAAGCGGTGTCGGTGGCCGAACCAACCAGGGCCCGGCGCTGGCCGCAGCCAATGGCGAGCTGTCGGGGTCCGTTGGCAGCTTTGATCGTTTGCCACCGTGCCTGGCTCTAGGTACGGAAAAGGGAAAGGGGAGGGGGCAAGACGCCACTAGGTATGCACCATCTAGACCATGTACCTAGACGCAAGCAGAGTGTCGGTGCTTTCAGGAGCTAACATATCCATCCTCGGGATTTGGGACGGGCACAAATCACATGCAACAATGATTTGTTGAACTTGGGTTTATATATATGCTGATAGAACAACTCGGTAAGATTCAGATCTGGGTTATAGGACCTAATTTGTCCCCTTACGCCTCAGCCAAGCAAGCTGTGGACAGTATGTACAGGAGGTAGGTCCATGTCCCGGGGACCCTGCATTTTGCTCAACTGGCCCAAAGATCGCTTCTGTCTGTGACTCGGTGGGGGAATGTACTGTAATTTATGCATGTACTGTACAACTAGACAGGCTAGAATGGCATTCACCAGCAAACGGGATTCGGCAAGTAAGCCTACAGACAATATGCGCCACCAAACTAATTACTGTGCTAAACCACCTTCCCTGCGCCGCACAGTAGACTATCTACTGCGAACAACGGCCAACCAAACTGGTCGGGGGATTCTCTCCCATGCCCTATTGGACGTTGCTTAGTCGCCGACGCCACAGCAGCCGTGGATAAGACTGTGAACGGCCAGCGACAGCCCCCCTCCCCAGCGACGAAAATCTTGTCGTCTTGGACTGTAGATAGAGACTCAGGCCCCTTGTCTTCATCTCCGTCATGTCGTCACTGCCATGGCTACCAGGTGAAGTTGTTCGTGAAAGAGAAACATTTAGGTTCGTCATACCAATTCTGGTCCTGCGCATTGATCATTGAAGTGCTAACCGCCAAGAATACTTGTAGATATGACCCTGCCCTCATCATCAACGCCGTCCCTAACTCTCCCTCCAACCTCATCCCCTCCGCCGAGCTCTGTGCCTCTCCCGATGCCATCTTGACCGCCTTCTGTCAACTGGCCGCTTTGCGACTCAATACCACCCGAGCCCTCATCTCCCTCTTCGACCGCTCGAACCAATACGTCGTTGCTGAGGCCACTCAAGACCTGCGCCTTTTACCCAATGCCAGCCTCACACAGAATGACCCAGGCCTTTGGCTGTGTGGTACTCGACTTCCTCGTTCCTTTGGAGTTTGTGAACGTGTCCTCGTTGCCCCTTCAAACGAGCAGCCATCTCGCGATCCCGCGGTCAACAGCAATCCCAGCATTCCAGTCACTGTCATTAGCGACCTCAGAACCGACGACCCGCTATGTCACCGACCTTACTGCCATTCTTGGCCCAATAATCGTTTCTATGCCGGCGTCCCCCTAAAGACTACCAAAGGTATCAACATCGGCGTTCTCTGCGTCTTTGACTGTCAGCCCCGATCCGGGCTGGACGAGCCAGCCAATAATATTCTGCGAGATCTAGCTCAGGCTATCATGACCCATCTCGAGGAACGACGTGTCACCGAAAGATACCGCCAAGCAGACCGTGTCACTCGCGGCATACAAAGGTTCTTCCACGGACGTGCTAACCAGGCCGACATGAGGGATGACCAACTGCTTGCGACCGAACCGAGACTGCATACGCCAGGAACAGACTCTAGTGCGCAATCTCATCATTCCACCGACAGCAGGCCCCGTGTGGACCGCCTGAAGAGCACATGCGCGAGCGCAGCCGATATCACGAGGGATGCCCTCGAAGTCGACGGTCTTATGCTCTTGGATGCCTCGTATTCGCGACGCAGCAATCTGGTCAGCCCTAGTACGAGTCCCCGTTATAGCACCCAAAATAAGGAGTCAACACAGGCACAAGCCAACACACAAACCCTTCACGGTGGAAATAATACCATGTGCCCCGTACTCAGCTCCTCTGTCGCGCCTCGACTACTCCCAACAAGAAGCACTCCTGTCAGTTGAAGCTTGCAGCCGCACACTGTTAGATGCCATTGACCAAATCCTTGACTGGACTAAAATCAATCGTTTCAGCTCATCGCTTACAAAGGACGCCAACTACGCCTACAATGATATTGACAGTCGCACCGTGCGTTCATCCCGAGAGAATAGCGTTGAGGCAAGCATGATGAACATCGCGTCCAGAGTCGATCTTCCCAATCTGGTCGAAGAGGTTATCGAAAGCATCCATGCTGGCCACGAGTTCCAGAAGCTCTCGCTTGGCCAGAAAAACGATCTTTTTAACGGGCGAGTCAGAGTCAGTGTTCACTTCTCGCCCAGCCCAGCATGGAAATTCCACGTACAGGCGGGCGTAATTCGGCGCATCATCATGAACATACTCGGAAATTCGCTGAAGTTCACCACCAGCGGTTTCATCCATATCCAAGTCGACCAACTGGATATGCCCAGTACTCCTGCTGGATCCGACGTCCGTCTCGTAAGATTGGCTATTACTGACACTGGGTGCGGTATCGATGACGACTTTCTTAGTCATGAGATCTTCACTCCTTTTGCTCAGGAGGACAACATGGATGCAGGAACGGGACTTGGATTGAGTGTTGTCAGACGGATTGTTCAAGCTATGAAAGGAACTGTAGACGTGCAAAGCACATCGGGAGTCGGCACCACAGTTCAAGTCGATCTACCTCTAAAATGCGCAGAAGCCCCCGAGCTAGTGGCTACTGACGATGTCTATAAAACGTGGGAATCGGAGTTGACAAATGACCACCTCAAGCGCCTCGAGGGCTTGAAGGTTTCCCTCGTTGGGTTTCAGGATTGTTTAGATAACGACCCGGTGTTGTACAACATCCCAACCGAGAAGGAAATTATATCATCAACTTGTCAACAATGGCTGGGCTTGGATCCCATTGACTCGGTGGACGACCAGGGCATTTCTCCCGACATCGTACTGTGCGATGACCGCTCTTTCGACAATGCGGCATCAACCATGCGATACAACAACTCAACGCCAGTGATTGTCTTTTGTCAAAACGCGGTTATGGCGCGGAAACGAACAGTGGCCAATAATCTTGATCGCGGACCCAACGCGCAGAATGTGTTCTTTACTCACCAACCGTAAGTTGACTCGGCTTAACCCATCACCTCACAAGCAATCCAAAACTAACCAGCTCATCGGTACAGCATAGGTCCACGCCGGCTAGGAAAGCTTGTGCTACGACCAGTAACGAAACACCCAAAGCAACAACTGTGTCTCAGAAATCGACCAGGCAATGAAAGGAGCGTTGCATTGGGCCAGAATCCACCAACTCCGCCTGCTGTCAACGGCGAGAGAAGCAATGTCTTCAGTGAAGACCTTTCGCTTTACTCTACCACTCCTAACTGGTATCTGCCTCAGCAACTCCCACGTTCCCCTCTCGCCACACCTTCAGAAAAGCCGGATCCCATGTGCGCTGAGCCGAGAACAAGTGAACGACTATTCCTTCTCGTGGACGATAATCCAATCAACCTGAAAATGCTGGTAGTATTCATGAAGAAGCTCAATCTACCGTACCGCACCGCAACAGACGGACAGCAGGCCGTTGAAAAGTATAGAGAGAACCCCAAGGGCTTCATATGTGTGTTTATGGACATATCCATGCCTGTCATGAATGGATTCGAGGCAACACGTGCGATCCGCAAGATTGAGACTGGCGCCGCTGCTCCAAGGTGTGCTGTATTTGCCCTGACTGGCCTGGCGTCACAGGAAGCACAGCAAGAAGCCATTTTGAGTGGTATCGATCTGTTTTTGACCAAGCCGATCAAGCTGGTAGAGATAAGGCAGATCTTGGGGACGAAGCATTTGACTGATGTTTAATCGAACTTCTCTCGGCATTGTGCTTAATACATATACCCAACCTTCTGTAGTTAGTTTAAGTATGGCTTGGCTTGTTTATCTGGACGTTCTAGGGCGTTGGTTGTTTAAACATTTCGATTTCCGAGGGTGACCCTCTAATCGAATCGGCCGTTGATTAATGCACTCTAGGCCAAGCCTCTTATATCGGCCACATACCTTAGCTATATGCCATAATTCGTGTACTCTCAAGGCAGTATATTGGGTATAGAAGGGACTAGGTCAGGACCGAAGTGGCGTAGATGGCAATGCCAGCCTTGAATAAATCGGCACCACCGATAAAAACACGAGAAGAGGCCGGGTTTCTAACACAATAAAGCTCGACATATTAGGTATTCTTCAATCACGGAACCTTAAGTCTCTGGACGCTTGTTGGTATGTCAGCCTCAATAGTCACACCTGAGGGCATTTCTTGTGTCCATCTCAAAGCACTCATCGCGGATACCGACACGCTCAGTGCCCTTACCAACATGCATCCCGAGCTAAATGCCGTCAAACCGGATTTTGGTCTCAAAGGAAAGCTTGCCTAGGCTCTGATAGTATAGAGCTCCGGGGAGTACTTAGCGAAGTAGTGTGTGAAATGGGTCACTGCGATGACTTTTTATCACGAGGCCTTGCAACAACGCCTTCGGAGCTTGAATTTCTCCAAGGGGCTTCGATACGATCATTTATGTGCATATCGTAGCTGGTGTTACTCATTTTGAAAATCAAGTGAGGGCATCACTATTGCTAACCCCGGTTTTGTCCCTCGACATAGATACTCCGCGGAGCGATGGGTATCTGCTCGTACGCACAAGACACAGTGTAACGGCAAGCTCAACTACTGATGCTCGATGCTTTATATCATCACAGGCTCTATATGCATCGTGAAACTACAGTTCCAGCTCCGCAAGGGTGTAAATGGAAACCGGGTATGTTCTTCCAACGCCTATACTTCTGCTCTCGTCATTGATCAACCTGTCCAAAGAGGTGGGGACGCAGATCTTGGCATCCTAGAAGCCTCTCATTGCTTTCTCTCGTGTCATAAAGCTAGTCCAAGACAATTTCAACACTGGGGCCTTAAATTTCTGTGATGAGGTCATTGGGAGGCCGGTAGCTTTTATTCGAGCTGATTTGGCCTCTGAACCCAGGCTCCTCTAAAGTCGATATATGTGTGGTTCTCATGACTGACCGAATTCTCCTGGTTTACTCGTTCAAAGAGGATATTGTCGAAGGAAACTCTTGAAATATGAAACTTGATCTGCGTGTCAGCCAATGAACGGAAGTCGACCTGGCCCAAGAATCGATTGAGTTTGACCACGGTCTTGATATCACGAGTCACCACAGACCTCATTTTTAAGCTTCTCTAAAACTTTGATCATCATCAAAGCCTAGAGAGCAAAATTCCTCTTGTTTGCCAGTCTTTAACTGTATCGATTGATAGTTAAATCGTATGATGTCGTAATGAGACATATCAAGCCAACTCACTGAAAAATATAACTTCAGGTTTCTAAAGGCAATACATATATAGCCTCAACAGAGATAAGTCTCCCAATTAAAAATGGAACAATATGCTTTTGTGATGACTCCTCAACTGTATGTCTATCTAACTTTTGTGTCAAGATATCAACTTTCAGATGCAGGCCTCGACAGCGAATGAACATATCCAGCTCACAAATGAGACATTATTGCAATGAGACCTGATCATTTACCACAGGATAAACTTTGGCATTCTGAATCCTAGTTGATGCTTCTTTTATCTGACTTCATGGAATATAAAAAGGTGCCTCCCAAGCCTCCGTCATGACGATCCAACTCAGCATCACAAAAGCCAAGCATATTCCGCGAGAACAACAAAGTCCGCCCAGTCGCCAATACCAACTCCGATTACTTTCATGATGAACTTGTTATCTCTTCATTCAATCTTGCTATTCGTTTCAGCCGGTCTGGCGGCAGATGCCCAGGTTGCCTGGCGTCTTGAGCACGACACCAAGGCCTCTGCATTGGTAGCAGTAGACACCAATGGCACTGTCATCGCGGAGACATGTGGCCGTACGATTTACGCAAAACACCCTATCGACTTCTCAAACGTTGATGAAATCGATGGCAGTGGAAACTTCACCATTGGCAATGCCACCTACATGGTTCATAGTAACCCTGAATGGTCTGGGGGTCCTGCATGCTCACGAGTTTTCAACCCACAATACACTCTTGTCCAGTGCTCGGGAGTCAGCTGGGACGCTGCTGATGCCATCGGTGACAAGCCAAGAGACTGCTTTGCTGAGAGTCCCACGAACGGCGAACTGCAGTTCCCGCAGAACAGGACTCTGAATGAAGGGAGTCAGATGCACGAGCGAGGCTGGTGGGATGACTTTAAAAACAACGTCCGGGAAGGTTTTTCGACCACAGAGCTAGAGCTTGTTGGCGATGGTAAGTGTTCGCCAACTATCCCTTAATATGACAGTCACTAATGCGGCTTGACAGGAAATCCTCGGCAGCATTATTTCCACCAGCAAATATCGGTATGAAAACACTCTTGTGTCTTGATCCAACAGTGCGTTGTAAAATTTGTACTAACAGACTCTAGGAACCCATCCGCTGCGGCAACAGCCAGGGCTGTACCGTCGGCAAGACAGATTCGGAGTCCTTCACTGTTGGAGCCACTTTCAGCGTTGGCCGAGATAAATACTGGTCATCACTGGGCTTCTCTGTCACGAAATCTTGGTCGACTGGCAATACCTACAGCTGCAACGGCGGCCAGAACGAAACTGTCTGCATTTGGTACAATACCGCCCACACGACTTGTAAGTTACTTGGCATGAGACACGCACCTGAGATGATGCTGATGAATAATAGACACCGTGAAAGAAACTACACGCGCGCCAGGCGAGTATGAAAAAAAGACGAGCATCTATGACATTTCTTCTCCCAACAAGAACAACAAGGGCGGCGATTACTACTGTGTGGTCGGTCACTGTAAAGCCAAGGGCGATAGTTGGTGGGACAGGAATGGCCGTCGTGGTGGTCCTTGAAATGGCGGAATAGGCGACAGCTACAGTATGCCAGGTTTGCTACAACTTCCTTAGCTGCTACACCGTAGTTACCCTGATTTTAGATTCATTATTAGGAAATTTCCGTATTCCTATTTAAGCATCACTAAAACATCTTTGGTCAAAAACATATGTCAGGCTTACATCACGCGCCTTACTCGAAGTCCAACAGCTGTAAGGACGCATCAATTTTGATGCGCTGTTAAGATATACCTCAAGCAGCCACAAAGGTACGCGCTTACGTTAGTACTCCATATCGCTCCACAAAGTTACGACTTGATTGGTTACTGAGAGGCCAACCATTCTGAGTGGGTAGACCCGGAGAAAATGTGAACGGGGAGATGATCCGAGGGGGAAAGCGTCAGTCAATGAGGGAACGCCAAATAGCTCCGGCGGAGGCAGACTCAAGCGGAATATAATTATATAAGTACCACAATGGCATCTTAAATAGATACAGAGAACCGAGATTCTGAAGCTTTGTGTTTACAAGACGCCTTAACATTTACTAAATTACCTAATTATATCTTTGCTTAGTCTTTCTCCCAAAGGAGCAATAAATTTCTGCATACAGGCACTTTTAAGTGCATTCCCTACTATTTATAGCCGATTAGTGGAAAATCTTAAACTGGATTAAGATATAATTGGTGGAAACTGTTAATTTGGGAATACAATAGACGGTCTAGTATGACAGTTTCCTTATAAATGCTTACTATCGAATTTCTCACGATTAGTAAGTATAGGGCTGTTATAACCCCGGTAAGACAGATATGCAACAATGCGGTATTAAACAGAAATTAGGGCTATAATATTTATTGTAATTGGCGGTAACGCTGTATGTCTATCATTCCAAATTATCATCATTTTCACGGACAAGATGAGGTTCCAAGTCCTAATGCTTGGTCTGGGAGCTTCCTTCGCTTTTAAGTCTGTACATGCGGCGAGTAATAGTAACGAAACTCCTTATCTTCCCATTCCAACCAAAGCGCCCAAGACATGGGTTCATCCAGGAGTCTTCGTTTCTGGGCCGCAGCTCGACTACATTGCCAAGAGGATCAAGGCTAGGGAGAACCCTTGGACGGAGGCATTGGATTCAATGCTCAACATGTCGTATATGTCACCTACACGAACGGCTGAGCCATATGAGACGGTCCAGTGCGGACCAACATCGACGCCCAACATTGGGTGTTATCAGGAGCGTGAGGATTCCATGGCGGCATACACGAACGCATTGGCATGGTGGATTACGAAGGACAAGCACTATGCTGAGAAATCCATCCATTATATGGATGCCTGGTCTAGCACGATCCACGCTCACAACAACAGCAACGCACCACTGCAAACGGCCTGGTCGGCCGCTAATTGGGTACGCGCTGGTGAAATTATGCGCTCGAGCTATAAACACTGGTCCAAGAAAGGTATCAAGATGTTCTCTGACATGTTACGACACGCCTACCTCCCCATGATCGAGGACGGCGCCCCAAAGAAGAATGGAAACTGGGAACTGGGTGGGTGCACTTCTTCTGTATTACGGTCCCTAGCGAGTCTGCTGACGCTGGTAGTGATGATTGAGTCTACCATAGGGGCTGCTGTCTTCCTTGAAGATGCAGCTCTGTACGAAAAGGCCTTAGGGTTGTTCTCCGCCCGAGTCCCCGCGTACATCTATTTGACCTCTGATGGGGAGTATCCCGTCCAAGGCCGTGGTGGGATCAATACCACCGCGGAGATCATCAAATACTGGTACAATCAGAAAACCTTCCCAATTAGTGGCATCACGCAGGAGACCTGCCGAGACTTTGCCCATACCAGCTTTGGCATCTCATCCATCTCTCACATCGCCGAGACTATGCGGATCCAAGGTATGGACGTGTGGAGATCTACGGACGTTGGCACGCGTGTCAAGGCGGCTCTCGAGTTACATACTGCACTGGATTCAAA